CATGTAGGCCTATATATGTGTCAAAGCACACAGGATAGCTACACTTATAGGCTATATGCCGCTTATAGCCTACTATACTGGGTCGCGAGAGTGCTGGATGATTACTGACGTACAGCGGGGTAATCATATCGGAGTAGGCTAAAGAGGTTAGGAGAACGTTATAATAACGTTATGGGAATGTTAAAATATCGTTCTACAAGCCAAAAAACTAACGTTCTATTTCTGTTAAGAAAACTTTGGCTAACCAAAAACAAATCTTAACAAAATTACGTTCTGGGAACCAAAAACTAACGTTCTGGGAACGTTATATTATCATTCTACAAACCAAAAGCTAACGTTCTATTTCCATTAAAGGGGTCATATGATGCTTTTTTAAAGATCATTATTTTGTGTAACAGAATATGTTGACATGCTTTAATGTTCAAAAAACACATTATTTTTCAAATACTGTACATTATTGTAGGTCCTCTATGCCCCGCCTCTCTCAAACACGTCGTTTTCAACAAAGCCCCTTCCTTTGACAAGCGCAGTCTGCTCTGATTGGCCAGCTGACCCAGTGCATTGTGATTGGCCGAACACCGCAAGCACTCGTCGGAAATGTAACGCCCCTTACCATAATCGTGAGCTTCATCTTTCAAAATAAATGTAAAGACAGAACCCGAAAGGGGAACAGAGTCGTGTGACAGACACAGTGATGAAGCTGGTATGTGTTTGCAGTACACAAGCCACGGTTAAGACAGCTGACTCCACTGTGATGTGACCGTCTCTCTCTCCCTCACACACACACACACACACACGATGCGCAAAACTCCGCATTTGAACAGTCAATAGCAAATACTTAAACTAATAACAAAACAGTAGCTGATTCAGAAGCGCCACATTGTCATAGCAAAGTCAGAATTACCTCCTCTCCTAGGTTCACGAAACGGTCGTCCATAAAATGCATTGCTGTTCTGTTGTAAGTAATCTTAAAGATTCCTAAATGCATCTACTTTCGGAAGGCCAAATAAAGTGCTTTTGCTTTCGCCTAGAAACACACAGCGTCTCCCTGACATGGCTGCATCAACACTAACTGCTGTTACTGAAACCACGCCTTCTTTCTTTGCGTGAACATTTGGGCCGCATTACGCAAATATTTCCACATAGTGAGGTAGATATGTGGGGGCATGTTAGAACGAGCCGTTTTAGGGGGCGTGGCAGAGTCTTAACTTTGATAAAGAGTATCTCTTTGGTTTTGAGACTTCAGTCTTTGCAACTTCAGGGATCTTATCTATGCACAATCAGCTTGTAACACTCCAAAGAGAAAGGAAAACTTGAAATCGCATCATATGACCCCTTTAAGAAAGCTTTCCTGGCTAACCAAAAACAAACCATAAAAAAATCACGTTCTGGGAGCCAAAAATTGTTTTGGCCTACTTGTCCACATCGACTTTAAATAAAGAAAATAGAGATTTAGAGCCAGTAATTTTTTATGCATGTAAAATGTAGCTAGCAGGAAATACAAATTAATTAAGTTATATTTTCCTATATTCTATTTCGAATAGTCAAAAAATCCAAAGAAAACATCTTTATAACTGAAAGAAAAGTCACTTACAAAATAAGATTGGATGAACATTACAAAAAAAGCTGAATAAAATTTCTCTGTGTGGGTACATTGCCAAAACAAATGAATGACGTCTTCCTCAGAAGAGTAGCAAAAACAACAAAATGCGTTGCGCTCGAAACGCTATGTGTAAATTAACTGTGTAAATGCAACGAAAACTTTAGACTTTATTGTCCCCTTAGGGAAATTCTTCTTCACACCATCATTCCATTCCACAGACACAACATCATGTCATAAGTATTAGTACACATCTAAGATGTCAAGACTACATTAACAAAGTCCTTTATATCGATGTCCGTATCCTAGCCTATTCAGCGAGGCCTTTTGTTCAGGGTCACTATAACCGCAGGAATCAGCCTAAACTAAGTTCAAACATGTACAATGTCATCAAACCAAAAATGCTTGTAACAAATCACCAAACACCACAAAATACGAAATGCATGTATATGTTATTTTATTAATTTGTAGCATATGTTTTGAGCTTTTTTTTAATCTAGCTTGGCTAAACAGTCCAATAAGTGACAATTAGCCTAACCACTCTTTCATTTTTCTTAAACAAATATGTTATGAAACATTAAATATTATACATTATAAGTAGAGTATTAAGTTATGTCATGTGGTGACATGAGCAATCATATATTCTGATCAAATAAGGAATAATCAACTGAACTGGTATAGGCTACATTTGTGTTCAGGACATTCTGATTCAAATCAAAGTGGAAACGTTGGCGTTTTAACACAGGTCAAGTTGTGTTTTGGCTCGTGTCTCATGAATCAGTGAGACGGCTGTGTGAAGTGACACGTAGGTAACTGTTGTCCTGGAAAGTGTAATACAGCTCATGATCCAGCGCCGGTCTCCTTTCAGCAGAACCCCCCGCTCCTCCTGATAACATGCAGTCTGAACCCATTATGGCTCTTAGAGTTATGATTAAACCCAGCCAACAGTGAACATTCTCAGAACGTTCTGGCAAGGTTCTCTCAAAGTTATGAACAAACGTCCTTCCTGTAACATTAATAAAACATTTGGTCAAAGTTTTATTTCTGAAATGTTTTAGTTGATCGTTTATACGTTTTTTTGAATGTTACTATACTTATTCAAAAGTAATGTTAAAATAATATTTGCAAAATGATAAAAATGGGATGTTCGCACATTTAAAACAATAATAATAATAATAATGTTTAAACATACAGAAATAATGTTTTCATAACATAATGGGAACGTCAGCAAAACGTTCCTAGAACATATTTTTGTTAGCTGGGAAGCTAAGTGTTATTAGAGATTTTGTTGTTTACCGCTTCAGGCTTCAGTATGTTCCACTTGTTCATGATCTTCAGCGCATCCCAGATACTGTAGCACAAGTACGTCTAGATGTCTGTTAAAGATTGCTACATCTGGAAAGCATCTGCTGTGTACAAACATCTGATAGACATCTATAAGATGTCAGTTTTACATTCTAAAACTTAAAACTTTAAATCATAAACATCTTAAAGACATTTTCTAAATGTCTATTTGACATCTGATAGGAAACGTCCTATATAGACACATTGCAGATGAGCACACACTCTAAAAAAAATAGTCTTGCAGATGTAAATGCAGACGTCAAACAGACATCTCCATGATGTATGTGTGCTATCAGGGCCAAGCCACCTGTGCATTTAAATATTCATATTCATCCGCTTCATAGCAGAACCACCACAAACCCTTCAAGATGTCAAAGAAGATCCCTGCTTATCCGAGATATAGGCATAATTGTCGTTATAGTTATCGTTGTGAACGGGCCTTAATCTAGCACCGGTGGCAAATATCAACAAAGAAGCATCCCTTACCAAAAAGTAGTATACTTCAAGTTTATTTTATTAAGGTATTTAGGTATTAATTTGTATATATTTTGTTATATGAATATATGACTATATGAACATACAAAACATCAAAAGAGCAGGGTATCCGCTTGTAAACAAAAACATTTTATTCTAGCTTCATGCATTCTTTTTTAAACACTTGAATGTGGATAAGTTTCATAAATAAAAAATAAAGAACTAAACAACATTTTGAACAAAAAGCTGAAAAAAGACTATGAATTGGATTCAGAATGATAATCAAAACGTAGATAAAGTCGATCAACACCCCAAAGCTTGACAGTCATTATTTCCTCTTCATTGGTCTACATTTTATTCCATTACGTTACACAGTTTTGATACTGTTTTATGTCTGATGATAGTTTTAGAATACATGTGGAAGCATCTGTTGTTTCGGTTTCTTCTTTGTTTTATGTCTGATGATAGTTTTAGAATACATGTGGAAGTATCTGTTGTTTCGGTTTCTTCTTCACTTGTGTTTTTTGGAAATTCTGTACAGAAGATGTGTACTAGCGCCCCCTACAGTATAACAATGAAAACACGGATTCTAGGAGCACAATTATAGCTAAAATATATTTAGACTTTTTCTAAGTATAAGTCAAGTATACTTAAATGTCATTTTAAGTATATTTCTGAGAAGTACATAAAAAGTAGACTAAAAGTATACTTTCCTATTTTTTAGTTTAAAAGAAGTATACTAATAGCACACTTGAATAAACTTATTTTTCGTAAGGGATGTGAAAATAAATCTGCATTGTTAATCCCTTTGATCTTTTATTAAAAAAAAAAGAACCTAACCTTTCATTGAAGTAAAACAAAAATTGGGTAAAATCTTATTATGAAATAAGTTTTTCTCTTTGGCCACAATTATTGACACCCCTTTATTCAATACTTTTTTTCAGTTTGCAAAGTTAACAGCTCTGACTCTTTCCTATATGAGTTTGGAGATCACCTGACAGAGACCATTTTTTCTTTACAGAATCTCTCCAGAATGCAGCAAAGTATAACTCGCATAATATGTTGCATTTGGGCACTAAATTCCCTTTTGCATGAAGCTTGAATTAATGTTTACCATGACACTGGTATATTTCAGATCGTCCAGTTTCTCTTGTTCTGTCAGTCTCTGAAGCAAGGATGAAGCATTGTATTATGTTTAGCCTATACTTGAAGTGTCTGCAAAAAAAATGTGATTTTACTAGTCCAACTAGTTCCCTCGTGGCCGTTCGGCCTTAGACTGATCAATAGCTAACATGCGATTCGCGAACAAATGGTTCTTTTGAACAGTGATTCAGTCCAAACGATTGTTTGCGAAATTACTTTTGGTTTAACGGCAAAGATGTAAAGTCTGAACAACACTGCTGCTCATACTGTTAACAATAGGCTAATAGGCGAACAATATCACAGTTTGACACAAAAAATGAAACAAAATGGCGCGGGTGGAATACTTTTAACTAAAAAGTATCGGTGAATCATTTTAACCGATTCAATGAAAACGACACGGTCCGAACAAACCGATTCGCTAAAATGATTCCCAATGCTAATTTAGTATATTGATCGACAGAAAGGCAGAAGCATTTTCTCTGTAGCCTAATATATTTCGTCTAACAACATATAATGTTTTCTATATTTGTTTCCTTAACTAATATGTAAGGAAAATACACGTTCTCTCTCTTCCTCGTTTCAATTTCCCAAAAACTCGCTGAACCAGATTTCATGAGACAGGTGCGTTTTTAAAACGGCAGAAGACGGTCCACTGAAAGAGGAAGACAGGATTAAGATTATATCTCCATTAAAAGTTCTCCACGAGTTTGTGCAAATTCAATGACCCACTATGGCAGTAAACTTGAGTAAAAACGGAATCGCGCTTACAGACGCATATAACGAAGTGGTGAACGGGAGAACGGCCACAAACTGGTAAGACATCATGTGTTACAAATCAACATACTATCGAAAATGGATGAATTAATTATATTTTCTAAGTACTAACGACATTTTAACGTTCTACATTCTTATAACGTAGCTTAAAATGAGGTATTTCTCTTTAACATAATATGCAAATGACTCTTCAAGAAACCCAGATATATCGTGCTCAAAAGGGAATTATTAGTTGCTTGTTGTGTAATTTTTGGATTTAATTTAATTTTCACGTTATAGATGTATGTTGTCATTTATAGTGGTTACCTTAAGTCATTTTGTAACAGAAGGGTCCTGCATACAAATAAACTGTATTTGTTGATTATAGGGTGTTGTTCACCTATGAAGGAAACAGTAATGACATTCGGGTTGCAGGGAAGGGAGGTGAGTGAGTTTTAAATAAGATCTTAATGCAGATAAGAATGCCAATAGAGTGATGTCATTCTTTTTTGTCCTATTTGATGAGTCAACAGCAGTTGACAATTACAAATGCTTGTGTGTTTTCTCTGAGTGTGCCATAGATGGTGGGCTTGAAGAAATGGTGGAGGAACTGAACAGCGGTAAAATCATGTACGCCTTCTGTAAAGTGTTGGACCCCAGCTCTGGAGTTCCCAAGTTTGTGCTCATCAACTGGGTACGAAATGGACAAAAATGTCCAAAACCGAATGCACTGATGAGAACTAGCCTACTTTATAATGTAAAATAAAATAAAAAATTGTCATCATTTACTCAACCTCATGTTCCAAACCAATAAGACTTAGGTTAATCTTCAAAACAAAAACAAATTAAGATTTAAAAGAAACCTGAGAAGTGTCCCTCCATTGAAATTCCAGGGAACTAAAATAAAGATCCAAAAAGGTCATAGTTTAGATCAAATAAATCCTATAAAGCGACAGTATCTCTTTGCATAACTTGGATTAAACCACTTGATTCATATGGATTAGTTGTATGATGCAATTATGATCCTTTTGGATTGTCTAAATTTTGGTTACCTTTACTTTCGGTGGAGGGAATAAAAATGAATGATGACAGAATTTTCATTTTTGGGTGAACTATCCCTTTAACCCCTCAATCTCCATTTTAGCAATCATCTTTCTTTATACTATTATTTGGTTTCAGACTGGCGAGGGAGTCAAGGACATTAGAAAGGGTGTTTGCGCCAACCACGTTCATTCAATGGCCAATTTTCTGAGGGTGAGTGTATGATGCAGCTTATTATAATTCTCGATTTTCTTTTTGTAGTTACATTAGGGTCATGTCATTTCATTTGCTACAAATTCCTCATTTTGAATGTGTATTTTATTAAAGGGTGCCCATGTGACCATCAACGCTCGATCAGATGATGATGTTGAACCTGCTGCCATCATGGAGAAGGTGGCCAAGGGCTCAGGCGTCAACTACAACATCCACAAAGAATCAAGCCAGAACAATAATTGTGAACCTCTTGGACGTGTGGTGAGTGAAGCGATGAGTTATGTCCATACTTCATATTTATAGAGGCTTTGAATATCTGCATGTTTGCTTTCTGAAATACTCCAATGTCTTTGTTTCCACAGGGTTCTGTCTATAAAAAGGTCAGTGCTTTAGATGAAATCCAAATTACAGACAGAGACAACTTCTGGGTTCAGGCTGAGGTGAGGAAACGGCACGGTAAAACACAATGCTTTTATCTTCTCATCTGCTCTTTGTTGTCTTGACACATTCTCTTCCATCTCCTTTATCAGCAAGATGAAAAGAACCGGCGGCAGGAGGAGCGCAGGAAGGCAAATGAGGAGAGGCAGCGTCTGGAGAAAGAACGGAGGGAGCAGGACGCTCGAGAGGCAAACGAACGAGAACAAAGGCGGAGGGAGAGAGAGCAAGGGATCGACCAACAGAGGCGAGTGATTTTGTGTCTGTCATATCATTCATATCATCAAATAGTATATACACTACCGTTCAAAAGTTTGGGACCGGAAATATATTTATGTTCTTATTCAGCAACGACATGTTAATTTGATCAAAAGTGACAGTTACAACAGATTTGTATTTCAAATAATGCTGTTCTTTTGAACTTTCAAAGAATCATCAAAAAATGATTTTCCACCAAAAATGTTTTCAACATTGATGGTAATAATAAATGTTTCTTGAGCATCAAATTATCATATTAGAGCACTGAAGACACTGTGACTGAAGACCAGAGTAATGATGCTGAAAATTCAGCTTTGCATCACATGAATAAATTACATTTTATAATATATTAAAATATAATTTTTTTTTTAAATTGTAACAATATTTCACAATTTCACTTTTTTTTTTTTTTTTTTTAACCCTTTAGTCTTTAAAAATAATAATAAAATAATTTTAAAAATTAATAACACTGTTAAATATAATTATTAGCAATCTCAAAATGAATTTTTATTTTTTAGATCAAATAAATGCAGCCTTACTGAGCATAAGAGAGCTATTTCAAAAAACATTAAAAAATCTTACTGTCTTCAAGCTTTTGAACAGTAGTGTATGCAAAAATGGAGTTGCTTTGACTATACGTGACTGCTAAATAACTTCCTACTTGTCTCACAGGCTGTTTGAAAAGAAACAAGAGGCAGGAAATAAAGAACAGGAGCAAAAAAAATTGGTAAAATTATTACCTGCAATAAATCTGAACATGATAAAATCATATTTAATATATCATGTTAGTCACTCTTGATTGCTTTACTTGTTGTTAAGGAGAAAGAGCAGAAGGAACACCAGTCTCCTGTCAAAGCAGGAATATTGCGATCTGAGTCTGTGCAGAAGGCCAATGTGAGTTCACCTTTGATGAGTCAAAATAAATACAGCACAACAGTGAGAGTGTCCTTGGATCTCGGAGTATATTTCCCATTGAATTTCTCCAAAGAGATTAAAAAAAAAAAAACTTTAGTAAAGAGTTCTAAGCTCAGAGATGAATCACGGGTTCAAAGAAAAAAGTATATGAAAATCAGACCATTTTTTTAATGATCAAATGAAATACACTTCCCACAAAGCATTGTGAATTATGTAATAAAATATAAAACAATAGTATTATAAAAAAAAGTTGACTTATGGTCTGTCTTGAATAGTTTACACACTATCATTAAAAAAAGTTCTTTAAAGGGGTCATGTGATGCTATTTTAAAGATCATTATTTTGTGTATTTGGTGTAACAGAATATGTTGACATGCTTTAATGTTCAAAAAACACATTATTTTTCAAATACTGTACATTATTGTAGGTCCTCTATGCCCCGCCTCTGTCAAACGCTTCGTTTTCTACAAAGCCCCCTCCTTTGACAAGCGCAGTCTGCTCTGATTGGCCAGCTGACCCAGTGCATTGTGATTGGCCGAACAATATAAAAAATTCAGTAAAGCTAGGCCTGATTAAATTTAGAAAATAAATTATTTTACAATATTCCAAACACTAATAATCAGTGAAGATGTGGTATTAAAAACACATCAATTTATGCACTATATTTTCTTCTTTGTTTCTCATTTAGTGGATGACTCGGAGATCAATTTTGACCCGGATGATATTATCACAGGGATCGAGATGATAGATGAGGGCTGGTGGAGGGGTTACAGTCCTGATGGTCACTACGGATTGTTTCCTGCTAATTATGTTGAGCTTCTTTAAGTCTACAGTAACCAATCAGATGCAGTATCATGTAACAAAATGATTGTGGTTTGTTAATGTGTTTTAATTATGTTACTGGGCTTTTGAAAAATCTGTTTTCTTACTTTATCCAAATAAAGTTCAATAAAAGTTTGATGTTCTTTTCATGTTGATTCAAATATAGCAATCAAACAAAGAACAGAAAATAAACTCCAGCATTGTAATAAATGAAAATCTTCCCATATTCCCAGATTCCTGAAAACATATGCATTCTCACCCAAAATGTATTAATTACTTTCCTCACAAAAAAAAAATACCATGGTAATTACAAGTATATATATATATATATATATATATACATGATGATCTCAAATTATTTTCATGATTTTACAGCCGTAACAACAACTCACAACTTACAAAATAACAATTTCAATGGAACATTTTTGTAAGTAAAAGGCTTTACCTGTCCAAGAACCATTGCCAGCCGTTCACTTCACATCAGAGCGTATGGAATACATAGGTTGCTGACGTCTAACTCACGCGACGCGATAGTTACGTAAACGCCTCTTCGACGTCATCAGCCCGATTCTGAAAGTTTTTGGGGAAGAGGAAGACATGGCCGCAAGGTTACTGCTGAGAAGCGCCGTCCGGGCAGCTGTGACCCGCAGGGCCTCTCCAGCGGTCGCGCTGACCAGAGGGATGGCGGCGGGAGGTCAGTCTTTTATCACGGGCTCTTCTAATAACCGAAACGCGCCGCAGCATCAGTTAAGAGGCAGTTTGAACGCGTGCCAAGGACGCGATGCCTTCCGCGGTGGTCAATGCGCTTACCACCGGAAGTCTAAATGGGAAAACATGTGTTTTTAGTCTTTTAATCGTAATTTTTCATGCAGGTATTCCCACTGATGAGGAGCAGGCAACTGGGCTCGAGAAGAAGATTATGAATGCTATGAAAGCAGGCTCAGTATGTATTATGATATGTCAGAAAGCTGTCAAACTGAATGCTTATGCTTGCATCAAATATCAGTTTCATTGCAAAGGACAAATTCACCCAAAAGTGAAATTCTGTCATTATTTACTCACCCTCATGTTGATCCAAACCTGCATGCTGTTTAATTTCCTCTCAAAAAATTATTGTTGAAGAATATTTACATAGGTTTGTTTTCTATTAAACAGCTTGAAAGGTCATGTCTCTAGGACTCTAAAGAAGACAAGTTGTCAATTTGACTTTAAAATATGGTGCATTTTAATGGCCTTATGTTAGGTTTAATGTCAATGTCATTATGAAATTACATTATGGTTCTCACTTGCAGAAAGCCATTGTGACAAAATGTCATTGATGTCAAATTTAAAGGGTGCCCTATTTGATATGAACATGCAGGATACATTAATCTTGAACATAATAAAAATGAATGCATTTTTCTATTATGGAAATGAGCTGCATGAAGGTTCATTTTTATGTGCGTTCCACAAAAATTACAGGTTTGAAATGACATGAGGGATGATTCAATGGCCGAGTTTTGAGTTTTGGTTAACTACTCATTTACATTTATGCATTTGACAGATGTTTTTATCTGAAGCGACATTTCAAACGAATTCCAGAGTATACATTTTATTGGGTCATGCTTTACCTGGGAATCGAACCCATGATTTGGGTGTTGTCAACAGGTTCTAGTCCTTTAAAAGACATTTTAAACGAATTCCAGGATATATATATATATATATATATATATACACAGTGGGTACGGAAAGTATTCAGACCCCCTTAAAT